TGATTCTACTGGCTTATGTACGAGACGAGCTGGGACGGTAGGAAGGTCTGGGGTGTTGCCAGCAAAAGATATGTAATTGGGACATCGAGCGCCACTTCGTGTCTGGGGGCAACCCGATGGGATATCTATATTCGCGACGCTTGCCCGTCCACGCTCCTGCTTTCATTGCCTTGGTGGTGGGAGACATCAGATTCGTATGTTGGGCGAGAATTTTTCAGTTGGATTGGTGAATCAAGGTTCTTGTTCGCGCCGAGATATAGACGCTCATGCAGTGTCTCTCTAGGCGGAGACATTGGTTGCGTTGAGGGTGAGCTCTGAAAGAGAGAGGTGGTGCCGGATTAGAGGTTCGCGACATACACAGCTGAGAGTTAGATCCCACTCAGCAAGCTCAGCGCGTAGGCGAATACCACACCATATCTTTCATACTTCTTGTGTTTCCTGTATGGGTCCCTGATGTCACCAGAGCCTTGGGCTGATGCAAAGCCGGCCATCAGGGACGACACGTTGAGGTATCATGAGTGTATGGTGTCTGTACTGTTGGCTGGAGGGCTTGCAGTCGGTTCTAGTTAGATAGCAGTTAATGACAGTAGTGTTAACCTGTTGACTATCGCTGGTGAGAGTACTCGCTGTAGTGTGCTCCATCGATCTGCCTTCTAGCTCCTCTATCGTTGTGGAGAAATAGGGTGATTCGAGTGGATTTGCCGTGAGACGGGGGATCCGGGTAAACAGTGGCAGAAGTATTTGCTTTCCCGATCTTCACTGTTTTGATTGAGGGAGAGCTGGTGCTTTTGTACTGCGTGTGTTGATTATTGTGTACGATCGTATAGGAGGTACTGTGTAGTAGTCGTTATTGGTCGTTGGAAGAATGAGATGTTGTTGCCTGACTGCCCGTGGTGGTACTCTGCAATGAGGGATGGCGCCAAATTCTTGTTCTTTCAACTCGAGTTCACCGAATAACCTTGTTGCGTAGCAGGAAGATAGTTTATACCGATTCACTGTGTGTGGGGAGTAGTGTATATACTGAGTTCTTGCTCGGCAAACGGGGAATCGAAAGGATTGGTTGCTTCTATCGGAATCAGAATCGAGAATCGTTCGGCCGATAGAGGTACGTTTACGACTCGGATGGTTGGTTGGCTTCGCGTGGGGATGGACTAGGCCGGTGTTCTTGTTGTCGAGAATGTACTGAGCAGAAAGTAATTTGCAATGGCTGAGCAAAGGATTATCAGCTCGATTTCTTCTGAGCAAACAGAATGAATTCCTTGTCTTCCGATTCGGTCGTTCGTCTTGGAATGCCTGCTAGGATGCTCGTTGCGACTGACAGATGCAGTTCCTATTCTATTCCTATGGACAGGTGGTAGATCGGGGACTATTTCTTGTAGTGGCAAACAGCGTCTCGATGGGCGGAACAAGACAACTCGATACTTCGAATTTCCTGTTGGTGTTTGTGGTCTTGTTGATGGGTGATTGGCGTTTTGGATAATGACTCCTCTGTAGAATTAGTACCAGGGTATACGTGGAATGACTGGATCTTCCGGGGCCGCAATCACGTGTTGGTGGCTGAGGACGTTCCGTGCGATATCTATCGATTCAGAGCTCCGATTTGAGTGCTTCCAAGGGGAAACTTGCTTGTAATAGTGTAATAGTTAGCTTTATAATGATGGTGTTGCTTATAGTGTCTTTGTTGTTGTTGTTTATTTTTATTATCATCTTGGTTGACAGAATCAGTGGCGGGAGTCCTGTGAGTTGGCTCCCGCTTGAAAAAGTGTGGTGGCGTGAGAGGTAAGTTGGTGTTGACTCTCTTGCTTCCATCACGAGGTACAATCGAAAGTCTGAAGTCTTGATTTGAATTGAAAATGTGAGCCCCAGTTTTGCATACGTCAACTGTGAAGAAAACTGTACAAACCAACAATCTACTGCGAGTACGAGAGGTTTGGGGTAGACGACAGTGAAGGTGCAGGGTCGAGGAATTTTAAAATTGAACTGAGTACTATTGATACTAGCTAGTATAAAAATAGTACTGAGTATGAATCATCAATCATTAAATAAGTAGAACACCTCCGTTGCTATGTTGCGATGCTGCCTGCTGCCGCCTAGTGATGTGCAAATACGTGTATTGAGATTTTGGATACGTATTATACGTTTATAATACGGCGTATTATACGTATTGGACTTTGAGTCATGATCTACTGTTGACTCATCTACTTGCAGTACTCATGCCTGCTCCAGTGGTTCTCGCCAATTTTCTCACACCATATAACCTACCATCATCCCATCTGCTTCAACTAGCTTCCAACATATTGCATTGCAAAGTTTAGGACCAGGAAGTATGGTTACCAAAAGCCAACCAACACCCAACAAACCATGTAATACACCAAAATACAGTATAATACGAAAAATACGGTTCAATACAGTATCAATACATTAAATACCGTATTTTATGTATGTATTTTAAAAGATTCAGGAGGGGGTGTATTATACGTATTATACAAAAAATACAATATGCCTATCAAACGAGAGCCCCTGAAACGCACGCGGTTGTATTATACGTATAACATTTTCACTATGTATTCTACAGATCATACGTATTACACATATAACATTTTTAATATGTATTAGACAAGTCATACGTACAACACAGATAACACAAGTGGAAAAATATTATACGTATTACATGTATTATGTGTTGTACGTGTTTTACGTATAATACATAGTGACGAATTTTTGCTAAGTTTTTTTGCCAGGTGTTTTGCCAGGTGTTTTGCCAGGTGTTTGGGAGGCAGAGAGGAAGATGCACTGTTGCAGGCCATAATACCTGACAGCTTATCAACAAGTAAAATGGACTCTTACCTATCTGAACTCTCCCATGTTGCTAGATACAATATCAATGATGAAGAATGGACTCCTGCTTCAATCATTGTGAATGTAGCAACCTCACTAACTGATGATACACCAAAGGAGATAAACATTATGGATACTCTGGGGTTCGATAATTATCGAATGGAGGAATCGACGGTGTATTGGCTACCTTCGATGTATCAATCTTGTGATTCGGCGCATATTAAAGAAGTTTTGATGCCATACTTTGTACTTTCTTGCAAGACTGCTGGATTCCGTATCAAAAACAAGGGATTCGATAAGAGGCGGAATCACATTACCAACAAGCTTCATCGTGGCCATGTACAACTGGAAGAGGCACAAGTGAAAGTGTTAAGTACTCATCTTGGCACAGAAGCCGTTACACTAGCGAAACAATGCCTAAAGAACCATCTCTCGCCAAGTGTTGTTAAGACTTTACTTTATGAACGGACAGGCTCATCTCTAACTTCAAAACAAATCGAATCTCTAAGGAAGAGTCTGCATCAAGGAGTGGTCTTGTCTTTGGTGAAGCCAGATGGTACCATCTCTCAAGTATCACATCAGGAGGCGACAGCAGCAGATAGGCTACTTGCCAGATTGCAATCCGATCCAACAAAATCATTCGTTATTCTTTTTGCCTCATTTGACTCCGGCCTTCTTCGAATCAGACAATCACATAGGGGAGCCACACCTCAGAACATTGATCCTGAAGTACTGACAGATGAATCCGACAGTGCTGAATCCTTTGCGAACAAAGTAATGCAATACACGGCTCTTAGCCTTATTCGCGACTCGATCCTAGATAGGGTCTGAGTTCGACTCATGACGTAGTCCTTCGCGAATAGTCATTGGAGACAGAATTCTCAATGACCGCTCTAGTCATACTAGGTTGATGATGAAACATCGCTCTAGATATTTAGCCAGCGTGGAGTACTTCCACGCTACTAGATAAATGCTAGACGAATCTTCCACGCGTTCCGTTTTTGGATTGTTCCAAATGTATCCCGAGTTCAAGTCTGGTGATATTACCTACAAAACAAACTCAGAAAAGAGGGAATTGCACATCGAGTCTGGGCTAGGATTGTCAGGGCCAAAGGGAATCTCCTCCTCAGATTCCTCAGCCTTCGTCTCTTCTGCATCATTCTCGTTTGCCCCATGACCGTCTAGCGGACCAGATTCATCGTCAGAATCCACCATGATGCCTAAACGAAAATACTAAACAAGAAAACGAAAATAGGTGAGACAACGAACACGGGTAATACGTATAATACAGTTGATACGTATGACACGGGTGATACATATAACACATGTTACACCTGTTACACGCTAGATACGTATAACACGGGTGATACATATAATACACGTTACATGCATAACACGTGTTACACCATAACACGTGTTACACCATAACACATGTTACACGCGTAACATGCATAACATGCATAACACGTGTTGCGTGCTGAGGTGTGTGTTGCGCGCTGAGCACTGAGGTACTTACATCGGTTCAGTACTGGTCCCTACAGAAAGTGGTTGACAATGGTAGAATTCAAGGCCAGATCTTCCACAGGCTTTGTCAGTGAGCCTTCAGAAGTATATGAATGCAAAGAGAATGGTCCTGAAGGCTGTACAGGGCTTGAGGAAGAGAGTGGAGGCAGAAAAATGGAGAATGAGTTGAATGAAGAGAAATCATTCTATCTTTCCACAGGAACAGTCTTCTTGGCTTCAACAAAGCCATACCACATTGCCTACTTACCCACAATGATGGTGCTATCTTCAAATAACAAGAGAAACCTTTGTATCCTTCAAACAAACAAGAGAAGAGAGGTTGTTGTCATGGTGGTTCTTTGTGGTGGAGATTGGAGGAGTTGAAGTCAAGTCATTTTGCGAAGCCAACTCGAACGGTCACGGTGGCTGGCTGGCTGGCGTGCGTGTTATACGTATAACTCGTATCACTCGTATAACTTGTATCGCTCGTATAACAGGTCTAACACATCTTACGTGAAGAATACGTATAACATGTATAACACGTGTAACATCGCGTGCGTTTCAGGGTCTCTCGTCTCTTAGCCAACCTACTAGTACTGTAACATGTGGTTTTGGTTTATGGGCCGACTTTCCTTTCCGCTGCTTCCACGTCATAGACCGCAGACTGTACTCAACTCAGAACTCGGGAATCGGGAACGATGTCCAGGTACGGTACACTACGGTACAGTACCGTACGGTACATCCTGCCGCGACCTCTTGAGTGGTTCTCCTCTCCACTGGTACAATCGATCAGCCAGTCGGAGGGAGAAGCACGAAGCAACAAACCATCCACACTCCTGTCACTCTGCACACTCGAATCCAAGTGTGGGTGCACGCTGCATTTGTGTGGGATGCTCAGGTGAACTCATCGCGGCACACAAATTTGCCCTCCCCAAAACAAAGGTGATCTTTACTATTAGAGGGTTTCCAATTCACTTGGCACATTCAAAGGAAGCAGCCAAGCATTGAGGTGAAGATGAGGAGCGGAACGTTTACCATTGATGATGGCAGTACAGACATGGTTATAGAAAAAGAAGCATTCCGGCGGGATGTGGAGGCTGCTCACTCCTCGTCTGTGTTGACTCGGGTGGAAGGTACCAGAGCTACAGCTATTGATGATGGCAGTACAGACAACATGGTTATAGAAAAAGAAACATTCCGGCGAGATGTGAAGGCTGCGCACTCCTCGTTGAAAGGTAGTACCAGTGCTACAAGTAGCGGTAAGGCGCAGCAGCAGGTTCAGGTTGGTGCACAGGCCATGTCCGGCTCAAGCAACCGCAGTAACAGTAGTGCCAAGCGATTGGGAGAACGCAAGACAAAGCGATTGGAAGAGGAGGAGGAGGACATCTGTAACACAACTGATGGGGGAGTGGATTGGGTCGAGTCTTCAGTTCCCACTACCACAACAGGCACAGGATGTCATCATCCAGGTGTTCGGGACGTAGTGTTTCCCCAACTATCCGGTGAAGAGCTCGATAGGCTGGCTGTTCCGGCGCCAAGAAGATCCCAGCAATCCAATGCTCGTGCCATGCAGCCAGGAGCCTATCCAGTGGAACGGATGCCACGGATGCAACAGCGCGTCCCAGTCCAAGAACAAGAGCACCAACAAGACGTCCGAAGTGTTGCTCCCTGGGATATTACCGGCAGGCCATCCGAACACTTTTCGACCCCCATGCCGGAGAGCAACGGCGACGACTTGGCCGTGGCCAATTTGATTGAAGGCCATTCTCAATTTCTTGCAGCTCTACCCCAAGCTGAGGAATTCGATCAATTGGCAGACCAAGAACGAAAGAAAGAAAAACAGGAAAAGCGATCCAAGACGTATGCTTTTCTCGGATGTATTCTTCTACTTGTCATCGTTGGGATCCTCGTGGCGGTTCTGGTTCCTAGCACAAGGGAAACATCAGCTGCTGTGGAGACGACGGCCACAGCTCCAAGTACAATACAATCCAGTCCCACCACTTCTCCTTCAGCGGCCCCATCCTTGTCTCTGGAGGAAACCATCAAGGCCTTGTTCGAACAAGACACCCTCCACGCCTTGCAAGACCCAGAGTCGCCGCAGTCCAGGGCATTTGAGTGGTTGTTGGAAGATGCCCAAAATATACCTTCCTACACCACAGATCATCGCATCAAGCAAAAGTTCGCCCTTGCCACTCTCTATTATGCCACCAATGGACACAACTGGGTTCGGAATGACAAGTGGCTCAACCATTCCGTCAACGAGTGCTTGTGGTATATGGCACCCGATTTTGCCATGAAAAGTATTATGGGAACAGTCTACCCAGGATATCTGTCAGAGTTCTTCCCTGATCAGACACAACCACCGAAGACCTGCAACAGTCAAGGCATCTACCAAAACCTTTGGTTGGACCGAAACAGTCTCGCTGGATACCTCCCCGAAGAACTCTACATGATGACCTCTTTGCAGACCATTTCAATGGGATTCAACCATCTGGAGGGATCCCTCTCCAGTCGACTGGGCAAGCTGACCCAACTGGAAGGCTTGGTCATTTTTAATCCTCCTTCCGAGGGCAACATTCCTTCCGAGCTGGGTTTGCTTTCGAATACACTACGGGGCATTGGCCTTGCTGGCAGCAATCATCAAGGGCCCATTCCTTCGGAATTGTGGCAACTCACCAAGCTGGAGACCTTTGCCCTCATGGACCATCCACATATGCAAGGAACCATCCCTTCGGAAATCGGCCTGTTTGCGGATCTAAAGTGGATTATTCTAGATTACAATGACTTTTCAGGTAAGCTGCTACATTATGGGAAGTACATCTTTGGTAGCCAAATTTGCTTGCTTGCATTCACGAGATGCATCAATCTCTCATGTTTTCTCTTTCCTGTTGTACAATCCCACATTCATTCATTCATTCATTCATTCTGCTCTATTTGGTCAAGGCACGATTCCAACCGAGCTTGGCCAACTGGAGAAATTACAGTGGGTTGTGTTGAAACACAGCAGGATCACTGGGACCATTCCCAGCTCACTTGCAAGGATCAACAACAAGCTTACCATAAACCTCAGTAGCAACAACTTGGTGGGGACCCTGCCAAGTGAGCTGGGATTGCTCACAAAACTTTCGTTTGATATTCAAGTCGAGAACAATCGCCTCACCGGGACCATTCCATCTGAACTTGGCCTTCTGACCAATTTGGGGACGGTTCTAGATCTTCACACCAATCTTTTCACAGGAACCATTCCAACCGAGCTTGGGCAGTTGTCGGGGGCACATGAGCTCTATTTTCAAAACAGCCAACTCACTGGTCCGATTCCAAGTGAATTTGGCTTGCTCACCCGTCTTGGCCAACTGAAGCTGGCAAACAACAGCCTATCCAGCACAATCCCCCAAGAACTGTCTGATTTGCAGCCGTCGCTACACACAATTACATTGAATGCAAACCCCATGTTGACTGGAACTGTGCCAGATGCCATTTGCAGAATCAATGGCACCTGTGTAGTAATTCCAATGTTGACCGACCCCTCCTGTTCGGGACCATTTGGGGCTTTCTTTGATTGCGGTGCGGACGGGCTGTGTGGGTGCGACTGTCCCTGCTGATAAGAGGAGGTAGCACCTATGCATGATAAATTGCATCTACACGTATATGTCTTGTTCGTTTCATGTTCTCGTACCGGCGCTTGATTGATCTGTACCATGATCGTTGGCATGGAAGCGAGAACAAATGCCTGTGTTATGCACGTCGGGAAACACATCATCAGATGAAGGGGGCCACAGAGAAGTCACGGTCGAGCGCTGTTGCCATCAGATTGGCGGTCAGCATTGCGCAAACAACATAACCAGAGGGTTTGACTTCTCGATCATCTGCAAGGATACATGTTGGTCAACTTTGTCTGGTCGGCGAGCAGCTCTTCAACAATGGAGCCTCAGGTGGGTCTAGTGGGTCTAGTGCCTTTTTTCACGATGGGAAAGGAAGTGGCTCAGCCACCATTGACGCTACCGATGGTTGCAAATTAGGTGGACAAATCCTTTGTGTGGATGCTGCACAACCCAAAGGATCCCAACAAAAGGACTGAAGGCAGCTTGCATTGTGTTACATCTGCAATAGCAGCCCACCTCTGTAACACTAAAAGATTGAAAGGCAGAGATTGGAAAACATGTCCAGCTGAGCTTGTTTTAGGTTATTTGGCTGTCTGGTGTATGCTTTCATTCATGTATTCCACATCACTTGGATCAATGAAAGTTTGGAGTATTTTTTGTTGTGGTTGTGTTTTTGTGTGCCTCCTGCTTACTTTCCCATCTCCACGGGAAGAGCCTTGGTGAGTCGTTGGACAAATCCAGTCAGTGTCTTGCTGGCAATAGAATTGGGGCATTCTTCCACTACTGGTTTGCCTTGTTCGCAGCATTTCAAAAGATCAGTATCCAAGGGAAGACTGCCCCAGAAGGGTACATTATACTGTTCTGCCATTTGTTCGGCTCCCTTTTTGGTACTTTGTGGATTGTTGTCAACAACTCGAAATAGATCGGCGCTGGCCACCATATCTAGCAACTCTGGGCACTTTTCTTGGAGTTGCTTCAAGACATCTTCGGTCTTGTCATCTCCCGACTTGGGGTCCCGAAACGTCAACTTGGAGATAGTTGTTTGCAAGGACCCCATGTTTTCTACCACTCCCAGAACAGGAACCTTGGTCTTTTCACAGAAATTCAATTCCTTTCGTACATCCGCTGAATGAGTGAATGACACGAAACAGAAAGAAAGTATTGTATGAGTGGCAAAGTCAAAAGACCAGCAGATAGATCAAGGAATTTCACTTACCCAAACTGACTTCCTGTAGAGGGAGGATGCGTAGCGATTTGAACGTCGTGAGTACACAATTTTCAGAAAACTCAATGATTCCTCTTCTGTTTTCTGCAAGAAAGACAGTAAGTAATATAACTAACCTCTGGAGTGGTGACAACAACAGCTCCACTGACAGCTCCGGCTTTTTGCAAGTACTGAACGGTTGAAATATGTTCGTCACTGGTTCCTGGCGGAGTATCAACAATGAGATAATCGAGTCCATCGGTATCCCCAGTCCAATCCACTTCGGTGAGGAATTGTTGAATGAGTGCGTTTTTTCGTGGTCCTCTCCAAATCACGGCGGCATTGTTTTGTTCTAGCAAGAATGAAATGGACATGACGGCCAAGTTGGGCGACGCGTAGACAGGTGTCCAGGCTCCCGATCCGGATCGATGAACCTGCGACGTGGCGTAGGCATCTCCCAATACCATGCGAGGTGCCGAAGGACCGCAAAGATCGACATCGAGGAGTCCCACTGCGAATCCCTGTGATGCCAGTGTATGACTGAGTTGCGCCGCCAAGGTGCTCTTTCCGACTCCTCCCTTTCCCGATAGAACCAAAATGACATGTGATACATTGGATAAGGACGCCTTGAGCGATTGTGTTTCCTGTTGTGCCTTGGCCTTGGCTTCGGGAGAATTAAAGGCCCCCGTGGAACACGCCGACTGATTGGGACACCCCTGACAAGCCGAGTTTTTGCCGGCCGATTCCGAGGCAGGGCCGACACATTCCGAATTGGCATTGGCCGGAGGATGAGCTTCAGTTGGAACTGTCTCTGTCATGGTGGTGATATAATTAACTAAAATAATTGGTTGCAATATTGTTTGTTACAGGTCTCTTTGAATGGAAACTATGGAAATGAGAATGCTCGAAGGCTGAGGGTGTTGGAAGTTGGAAGAGTGAGAATGCCAAGGAAGAGCAACTGAAGCTCTTTGCGAACTCCGAAGAAGACGAAGCATTCACGGATATCACGAGTCCCGGAATGCGAGAGCCATCCAAAATCGGTTTGGAGTTCATTTTTCTCCCTGCCTTCCTTGCAAGAAAAGTTGAAAGAAAACCATGGGAGCGGAGAAAGACCACGAGGAAGAGGACGGCAGTTCCTCCATGGAAGTGGATCAAGAAGATCAAGAAGAAGAAGAATTGGAAGAATCAGTACCCATTAACACTGCTCCTCAAGAAAACGAGAATGACAATAACGATGGTGGTTTCACATTTTCCAAATCTTGGGCCATTGACAAGGCTCATGTCCCCATTTACACGGGAGGAAAGATATCGCCTCTCTACTTGAAGAATTCATCGGATGACGTTCTTTCTTGTATAATTCTTCCAGTCGATGGAGACTTGGTCGTTGTGGATGCACAACGAGGAACCAAACTGGGATCTGTCCGAGAAAGAACAGATACCAATGAAGATGACGAAGATGATGAAGGTCTCGATCGAGATGCCATTACTGCATATGCTCTATCATCCTCCAATTCTCTCGTCACCTGCAGTCGAAATCATCTCATGCAACAATACGAAATCAAACTAGTCCAAGACGATGACGACAACAACAACGATACTGTACAAGTCACACTTCAGAAAAAGTGGGGACGTTCAGGCCACTCCCTTCCCGTCACGGAAATGGAATTCCATACATCGGGAACCTTTGTCGCTACAGCGTCCATTGATGGAACTTGCCGCATTTTTGACGCCAGACCTGGTCATGTCACACATATCTACAGACCCATTGCTGGAGGGGAATCGGGACGACACGGGGTTTCCTCCATTGCATGGATGAAGGATACTACCCATCTTGTCATTGCCATTGGAAGAGATGACGGAAGTATTGCCATTCATGATCTTCGGGATCAAGACATGAAACGAGTCGTCGTCACCAGAGAA